ACACACACACACACACACACACACACACACACACACACACACACACAAAACCCTCATATCCTCCGCAAATTTTTAACCAAAATCGTGACTTAAAATTCATCACAACAGCTAGCCGCAAGTCTTGAAGATTCCACAAGGTGGCGCTAGATCCTTATGGGCCAAATCTAACCTCGTAAACTGTTGAAGAGCAAGAGCTAGAGCCGCTGGCTAAACAAAGATTAGAAAATGAAGCTATCATGAAGGCCATCTTGCTCTTGTCTGGAGGAAAGGCTGGCTTCCCATATACGTTTGAAGTTCTAATCACATACTTAAAAACCTAAACGCCAAGCTTAACTTATCAACTTCTCTCCTCCAAAGGCAGGTCTCCATCTGCTCGATGCATCACGGGCACTCCATCTTAAATGCTTTCCAGAGGCTGCCACAAAGTACATACCCCACGAATGGGGTGTGTGTGTGTGTGTGTGTGTGTGTGTGTGTGTGTGTGTGTGTGTGTGTGTGTGTGTGTTAGGCACATTTGTATTGAGAAGATTCTGTCTCATCCCTATTAATATTTTCATTGCACTTCAGTAAACTGCAAGTCTTCGTTTCTAAGCTCTCAATAGTTTATGAGTATCCCATAAATAGGAATAAACCTTCGTGAGTTGCACTCAAAAGACAGAGTCTTCAAAGCTCTTCACACACACTCCGTGTGGTCTTCGACACTGCCCTATCAGGTCAGCCACAGCGTCGCAGTGTCTGCGGCTGCCTTACGGCAGTGTGCGGGGCGGAGCCCTGGGTGTTCCCGGAGTAGGAGCCATTGCACCCACCTCAGAACAGCTACAGGAAGAGAACCGGCAAGGCCCCCGTGACTGAAGCATTTCTCATGTCCCTCGTCACAGCTGTCTCTTCAGCTCAGAATCTCTTGGAAATGATTCAACATGTGCCGGTGCCTGGAGTTCACGACACATCTCTCAAGTTCAGTGTGCTCCAGCTCCTTCATTCAGAAACACTTTTCCAGGTGGACACAAGAACTGTTCTGACTCTAAGTGTATGCCCTTCGTCTTGATTTTTAAAACCCTAATGGCCATCCTAAAACTTACAATCTACTTTTCAAAGGGGTCTTTAAATTTAAAAAGCAGATCCATACAAACCACAGCACTCTGAGGACTGTAGCTCTAGGAACTCTGCATTCCATACAATCCATTGATTGTATCTGTAACCACATTTTATAGGTGAAACACCCAAGAGGTTAATGAGGGTTTGCTCTGTGATGTGTTCCTTTCCAGAAGCCCTGGTCAGCGTTCTTCTCAGGGCTCATTTTCTAAGAATTTGAAGAGAACATAAATATCAAAAGGTATCAACAAAACAGAATACATACTAACCCCAGTTTGGGGGTTGCTGGGGGGGGGGGGGGATCAGGGAGGGGGGGGGGGGGGACACGGACAGCTGAGCGTCACAGCAAGGCCGAGAATTCAGTGTCGTGAGCCTAGGGAAGCATGCAGCAGACCACACATACCACCATGAATGGGAAACTCACAGACCTCATCCACAGTATGGGAATAAGGTGCCAATTCTAGCACCCCTGATTTCCAACTCGTAACCAAACGCTTTTGAGACAAGACTCAGAAATTGTTTTATTAAACTGAACACAAAAAAAAGCCTGTTACAATATCATCAAGCCTTTATCAGAAATCAGTACATACATGAGAATACACAGCCAAGATGAGCCATCCACATAAGTGGTGTAAGCTTAAATAACATTCAGACTTCTATATTTAATAGGCCAAAGAAGATAAAAACCAAAAGAGCAATTTCAGTTTCACAATTCACAGTTGATTGGTTTGAATCCCGTGACGTGTCAGTCAGCTCCGCAGCCCTAGAACAGCAGATCTCCAAAACACTGCCCCGTGTCCTGCTTGGATTCTCAACCCCGGAGTGACAAGCAGAGAGCATGATATGGCACAGCCCCACTTTGTGGCTTGGACTGGCACTTCTTGGTTGCATTCTTTCTAGTGAAACAGCAAAAGCACACTTACAAGTTCGCCACAGGGAACGCAGGGCGGCTCCGCACCCTCGGCTTTCTACTTCCATCTCTGACGTAAGACGGTACCTGCTTAAAACGCACCCTTCGCACTGGAAGCAATGCTAAGAGCACACACCCCAGAGAGGACACCCTGTCTCGGCAGACACCTAGGCTGCTTGACGATGGAGCCTGGCATGCCCAGGAAGGCATTTCAAAGACGGCACACTAAACCCGCGTCAGGTCACTGTAGTCGGCTGGGGGAGGGGGCAGGGGAGCCACAGGTGGGCAGAGTCAACATGAGACCCACAAAATGACACACTGGCTTATGGAAACTTTGGCAGGGTACCAGAGGGGAGGTTTGTTCCCAATAGGGCTCTTACCCTAAGACGGTATCACTCATCCTGACATGTGGAGTCATTTCTTTAAAAAAAAAAAAAAAGCATCAGGTAGAGAGTGAATGAGTGGTCAGTAATAGAAAACACCATTTTCACTAGTGAGGGGGTCATTTGAGCACACACCCTTACAGAGCGAGCGGCCATAAAAAGCCATTTAAAGACAAAACGAATCGGGCAGACCCTGCATTAGTTGGTGTTCAACAGTGCATTGAGATTTTAGCAATTGCTTTGGACTTAATTAAAAACTACAATTTATAGCCTGGCATGTGGTACATGCCTGTAATCCCAGCACCAGGTAGAGGCAGGAGGATCAGGAGTTCAAGGTCATCCTTGGCTACACAGTAGAATTAAGACTTGCCTGGGCTAGAAGGGAACTTCACGAAACAACAAACGACCATAGGAATATCTTTATGTTAAAAGAACTGTGAAATGTCTAAGAATAAATTTCTACTTTGCAAAACTACATACAGTCCTTGTAAGGGCCCAGAGGAAATGTTCGGTTACACTGGATGCCCAAGACTGAAATCCAGAAGCACTCATGTCTGGGCTCTGGCATGGCTCTACCCGTCCAGTCTCCCCCCAGAGCAAACCCCTTCAGTTCCTCGGAGCTGTCGGCAGAAGGAGAGCACAGGATGGAGGCAGATGGCAGATCTCCTCTGGGGCGGGGGAGAGCTGCAGACTGCTCTAAGGCTTGCCCACCCCCAGTGGGCCGTTCTGCTGTCTCAGTGTTGGATTCTGCTGTCTGCGGGTATAGGTGAATGGTTACAGCGCCCGGGAGTTCACAGCAAGTCCTGATGGGAATGTGACCTTTGTGGGCCAGGTAACCCGGTACAGACTTGTCTAAGCAGACACAAGGAAGACTGATATCCACAGGAGAGAACTGAGCCCGTTTACTGGCTTGGGTTATGACCCACATGTGTGGCTTTCCAAAGACGTTAACATTTAAGTGATAAATCCTAATGCATGGCACCCAATGGTATGGGCTCTGTCTGAAATGTATGCCAGGATAGCTGTCCTGATGGACAGACATGTGAACACAGCGATAGGCTCATGGGGAAATACAAGGTGGGAAATGTCAACAGCAGAAGGGAAAATTAGGTATGCTCCAAAATGTTTCCACTCTGACAAATGTCCGAAATTCTTCATAATAAAATGCTGAGGCAAATGTTACTATTTCTACATGAAGGTTAGTTTAATCATATGTACGAAAGTTGTAAAGACTCAGGAAATTCAAAGTTTTCAGTTAATCGAAGTAAGGAAACTGTTGTTTTTCAAAGGCCTCAAGCTTGCTTGGGAAGTCCCCTCCATCCGTGCAGAGATGCAGCACAGGAAGACCCACAGCTACTGTCCCGGCTAGTCTCTCCATGCACTTCGTTTGCAGATGCATAATTTTCTCCTCTCTACAGAAGAACCAAGCTGGAGCACAGTCAGGGTAGGAAGTTTTCTCTGACATCTCAAGCTCTGACTCCTCCGTATCAAACATGGCCACCAAGGTGACGACTGCCAGCCTCGGCAACCCGAGAGTGCACAGTTTATCCAGTAGCAAGTCGAGACTGCACTAAGAAAGGAGGGGACGGACACAGGACAGACTTCACAAGGACCTCTGCTACTTCAAGCTATTTTATGAACTGTGGTTAATGGCAGTAAATCCTGTCATCTCTACACTCTTGCTAAAGGCACTCATATTCTGGGCTTAACGGACACAAGGTCACCCGGGACCATAAGCCAGGACTTTTTTTTTTTTTTTTTTTTTTTGGTGGCTACAGAGAAAGGGCATTCACAAAGGGTCCCCACTGATAATGGGAAGAAAATGCCACATAGCTATCCATATAAATTGTCTCATAAGAAGCATTTACACAGCTAGTCTCCACTCAGCCATGTTGCCATGGGGGCTCACAGGGAACTCACCCAAACAGGACATGAAAGCAACGAAGAATTTTAAAAATCACACATAAAACTCCTAACAGAGACTCAGAGTGGGGCAAGGTAGACTATTCTTAAACACCTGTTCAAATACCTACGTTAAACTTCTGCACACAAGAACAGAATATTTACCCATTTCTAAAGACACTCCACTGCTTGGGTACACAGCTCACCAATTTCTCCAGTAAATCCAGTACAGCCTAAGTTCTGACATTTACAGAACCTTCCAAACCTGCTGTTCCTGAGTCTCTCCTCGGAGAAAGCACTGTGTGGAAGTTACCCCTCTGTTTGGACTCACTTGACCATCTAAGGACGGTTACTTCCTCAGACTGACATTCCTCATATGCCCAGGCAGCACAGATTGAAATAGTCCCAAGTTCCACTGTCAAGTTTTAGATCCTATCTACACAGGAATACTTAATCAGTTATACATGTATGTATAATTTCTCTCCTCATATGACTGTAAACTAAGCCACACAAAGCTCTGCAGGGCAGCCCTGTGGGGCCAGGTGGAAGACGCCTCAGGAGAGCACTAGCTCTCTGCCACAGTGCCTCATTCATTGTCAGGGCTTCAAAACTCCTGACTGATTTTCTAAGCTCGTGCTGAACTTAAAGGGAAAGAGCTGAGGAGGAGATTTTTATCAAGATAAATGGTGTGGAAAAAAAATTGTGAAAAGATACAGAATTCAGTTTGTAAGAGGCAAGCAGACAAGCATAAAACAGGCACATATTTACAAGCGGTAGGACAAGGACCAACCCAGATTAGCGAAGTCTTCTGTTCAAGGTAAAATCTAAAAGGGCAAAGGGCACAGGGCTACAGCTAGATTTCCAAAGACAATACCCTCTGAAAGTATATGCCATCCATTTGAAACTGGACTCTTCCTGAAGCCTTGGACCTGGGTGTTCTTCCTGGCCTCATAATGAGAAAGAGAGCCACGAGAACAGACATCGATGCTACAGATAATTGATGATAAAATCTACCAAATTTTGGACCAAGGTCTCCCTTTGTTTAGACTTCTATCCATCCATGTCTGTGTCATATCATAACATACATGATACCTGGAGAACAGGAGGCCAATCCTACAGCAAAATGAAACCAACCCAGAGCCCACTTAACTGACTCAAATGCCACCCTCACCTGATAAGACAAGGAAGAGACACTGTCCATACAAAGTTCACATGGTGAGAAATTGTACCATGTAGCTCCAATAGCCTTTGCCACCCTCTGCCCCACCTACTAAATACAGTGGGTACACCATGACCTCAGCCATGGGTCTTCCAAGTGGGGTCAAGCATCCACAGAACCTCTAACGACGGCCCCTGGCAGTCACTTGTCAACTTCCAGCATTTGGAAACAAACTGAGTTATTGTAGGCAAGCCGGCACTGGAGTGTCATCAAACAAATGCATCACTCTTTTTAGTGCAAAGGAATATAGAAATAACACTATAAATCTAACATTTCTCTCTAAAAGAAACCGCACTTACGCGTCCCTAACATCCATTAAGGGCACTGGGGGCCTAGAAACCTGAATTCACGAGGCTTGAAAACACATCAAGCCCTTAAGTCCACTGTTTTTGTACATACAGGAGGAGAGTAGTTGGCCTGGGGCATATCCTTTGATTTAATTCCCAGAGGAAAACCTTAAAGCAGATGAATGTCACGTTGGTGAAATGTAAATCCATACGCAGAATCTTTCAATGTTATCTGAGATAAAGATGAGGTGAAATTCTCTCTGGGGTAGCACATAAACTTGGGGGGAGATGACGCATGTATCTTCAGACACAAACACAGAGACACACAGACATACCCCTGCAGAGGGAGCAAATGAGACTATTAAAGAACCACAGAACCAAGTGGCCAGCACTATATGTAAGTCTACCGAAGAATTATATTTAGCAGCAAATGAGCAACCAACAAGATGCACCCTAAATTGCTCTGAATAGACGAACTCTGCAGATGGCCGCAGGAGGGTTCTTGGTACGAGGAGTTGCAAACGGAGATCAAATCTCAAGAGAACACTGTTCTTCATTCTGTTTCTAAGGGGACAATACTTAACCAAATAGTTCTACTTTTCAAGAAATCAGCATTTCGGTGGGAGGAAGTAATCATGTGCTGTTCTAGAAGCTAATCATAAAATTAACCTTTAATTATGGGTCTCGGCTGTTCTGAGGCAAGGATGGAAGGGAGGCGTGGTGAGTGCTCCCTTCCTCTCTATCTATCTGCCTGGAGAATTCTCAAGGTTACATGGGGCTTTTCACTGGTGACGTGAGTGATAAAATGAGCATTTATTATAGTGCAAAACACTGCTTGCTCTAACCTTCTGCAGAAGTATGGTTCCCTAGGAATTATGGACATGCTGGTCTTATCCACAGTGAACAAAAGTTCACAAAATACTCCAGTAGTCCACCTAGACGTACACTATGGCTTTTTATTTTAAAATAATCATCCCATTATAATCATTAGACACCAAAGTCGGACATCTCTGTTTTCAGTCTCTTCAAGGAGGCAAAAAAGAAAATGCAATGTGTGCGTGCTTTTCTACTGGAAATGACACTGCAACCTGATCAGCTTTAAAAAAGAAAAGGAAAATTGTTCCACCTCAGAAGTAGCCGAGAGCAGTTATTTTCCAGGAGTGCCCATTACCTGTCAGGGCCGCGTCAGGATATGATCATCAAAAAGCCACAACATAATGACCATCTCCTGAGTTCACATAATTAGCAGTGAAAACGTAACTCCAAATTGAAATCTCAAACACATTCTTGCATTTCCTTGAGTCATCTGAAAATATATTTTTTAAAAGAATATTCACCTCCAACTCAGGGTTGAAGACAGTCAAATCTGGGTCTCAGAAGGCGAGAGCACAGCTAGGGTATGAGAAAGAGCTTAGCAGACAAGCTGATCCAAGTGGGAGGGGAGGTGGGAATTAAATGTGTGCAGTTCACAACTGGGAGATGAAGTTACAGGTGCAGAAGAACATAGTGTTCTGGAAGCATCTGAATTCAAGAAAACCTGTGTGTCAGTTACAGAAGGATAGCCACAGGGAACCAACTGCTGCTGAGAGACTCAAGCACACACCATAACAGAACATCTTTCTGACACCGAACTGTGCAGATGCTTCCCCAGGAATGTCAGGAAATGGGAATCTCTGTTTACCTGTTTTCAGTATAATCTGAAGAATTCGAATCCACCCATCTTATGCGCATAAAACGAAAAATGCAAAAGTTGATGCCATTTTTAAATAATCATAGCTCTAAATGGTCAGGCTACTACTGCTTAACCAGAACGTGGCCGAGAAAAGATAACGGGGCAGGCGGCTCACACATTGTAGCAGTTTGACGCAGCTGGCCCAAAAGAGCATCATGACCCAAGAAACATGTCTCCCTCCCCACCCCGACTTGATGACTCATGGCACCACTGCAGGTTACTCGAGTTAAGCAGAGGAATGAGGAATGTACTCATTGAGGGGACCACAAAGCAAGGCAGGCTGACAGAAGGCAAACAACAGGCAGGATCAGCTTTGCCGCGAGCACGGCCGTCACTGTATGTAGCCCAGGTTCTCCATCTCGCTCCGGTACCGCTGCTCAGACACCTTGCTCTTGTGCTGCTTGCTCTCCAGGTGCTGCCGGAACTCCACCTCTTCACCGGCTCCGACGTTACACATTGAGCAGTAAAACTGGCCACTGGGAGTAACGCACATGGCAAGGTCTCGCGGGATCCTCTGCCGGGAGCGGGCATTGAAGTAAGGACCTGCTAGAGCATAGACACGGTGGGGTAATCAAGGGAGGTGAGATGCCTGGGGAACCTGAGTTCCGATCTCCAGCATCCATAGAAAAGTCAGCATCACCCCAGGGCTTTCACCCCTTTCCAGGGTCTCGAAGGTGGAGACAGAGGATCCTGGAGACTTACTGGCCAGCTAGCCTAGCCAATCAAAAAGCTGTAGGTTCAGTGTGAGAAACTCTCAAAATGTAAGGTGGATAGCAACAGAGAAAGATACCCCAAAAATGACCTGTCAGCTTTACATGCGAGCACCCACACACATACATGCAGACACTCAATGCCCATTTAGTAAAACCACTCCACCAGTTCTCACTGTATTCTATACTCTAAATTCAGGCTCTTAACTTTAAATGAAGGAGAGGTAAATGGATTTTTCTCTTTAATTACATGTGCATAGAAGTTCAATCTACAAACATAAAATGATTCTCCAACTAGTGCCAGGGTATGACTATAGCCAAGCCTAGGTTCTAAATGCTTATGGCTCTAAAAAGTAAATATTTAAAAACTGTAGCCAAGCATGGTGGCTTGTGCCTTATAATTAAGCACTTGGGAGCCTGAGGCAAAAGACTATGACAAACTTGACGCCAGTGTAAGCAACACAATAACACCTATCGCTCCAGCCCAGTCTCTATATTTGTATTACTCTACTCAGAGAACATAATCAATACCATCTTCATCCTAAAATGTATTTTCCTTGACGTTAACACAGCTATGGGATGCTTTTTCATCTCAGCTAGCTTTTTAAATACAGCCTGGCCATCTCTTTTAGTTGACTTTGGTCATAACTAGTAATGCACTGAGACTGCATTCTCAGACCAAAGATTTTTCTGTCCTTCTGTACTTTCACTAGCTGTCTTTTGCTATTCAGTGAACTCGGTTTTTGTTTCACTCTTTGTACAAATAGCCCCTGCTGGCATGCACAGTGTTAGGGGCCATGGTGGCCAAGACTAGAACGAACAGAGAACACTGCCATAAACACACGGCTCTCCAGTGAATGCACACATCACAAGAATTCCCTAGATAATTCTCACTTACTGCCTGTATAAAAATCACACTGAACATGGCGTGACTTAAAAATCAAGGAGGGCAAGGGTGCGTGCGTGTGTGCGCGCCTGTCAAGTTTCTTCCTCAATAACTCTCTACCTTATAATTTAAACCAGTCTCAGTGAACCTGGAGCCTGCTGATTCATCTAGGTTGTTTGGCCAGTGAGCTCCAAGGGCCTGCCATCTCCACCTGAGATAACAGGTATGAATTGCTGTGCCTGGCTTTTTCCACCTGAGATTGGGATCATACTCAGGATCACACTCCTTATGCTTGCATGACTGCACCATTTTCCCAGCCCCCAGGAGGCCCATTTTCTAACATGCTCTATTTTTTTTAAAATAAGGAATTATAAGACACTACAACACTATGATTTAAAACCAACATAAATAATATACTGAATAAGCAATAAAGAACACCAGAAATAAACATCAGCCGGAACAGCCAGAGGTGCAGTCCAACAAAACAACCACTGACCTAATTTCTTGCTTATTCATCTCCTGCTATCATTTGCAGACATGTGCGAGCTTGTACAAAGAGACGCACAGGATACCTGAATTGCTCTGGACTGCATACGTATTCCTCCTGGTGGTCACCATCTTAAATTCACTCCCTTCTTTCCGGGTCCGCCGCTGCCCTGCCTCTGCGGAGTCCCTGGTGAAAAGGAATTTGAAATGAGTGAGAACAAGGCTCCCTTTCAGCCCCTCCTTTGAACACAGTTGCTCTCACATACCAGTCTGGCCTGAGAGGCCATGGCAATACCTACGAGAACGAGTTACTCTGGGCTTCAGCCAGACGAAGTCTCTTGGCATGGTTCTTCCCCTGGTAGTGAGCCTGTGCCACTGCAGGGGAGCTAAAGGAGGCGTCACACAGCTTGCAGTAGTCATTCTCTGTGGCCAGGATCACTCTGCCCCCTGGCTTGCAGGAGCCCACCTGCCAGAAAAGACACAGAAGCAGAGAGTTACACCTTCTTTATCCTAGAAGATTCTTCTGGGCCCTGAGAAACAACCAAAGCCCGAGGCATGGCCGCAGGCACCGAGTTTTATAAAAAGAAACTGATTCCAGGGAAAGAGAGACTGGGAGACCCTTTTGCCTATTTTGAATTATAATTACCTATAAACCAAAGTACTGGCTGGTGTCCACTGAAGAAATGTTTTTAAAACGTAGACATTTATAGTAGGAGGCAGGCAAATAAGTAAGGAAAGCTACAAACTTCTTCCCAGAGAAAGGGAAGTCTGCTCAAATTCCACTAACAAGCACTTACTGAGCACCATCTGTGTACGGAGCAGCCCACCTAGACAGAAGCGGCCAAGTTCGAAGGCTTCAGTGCTACAAACTCTCTAAATCACCTGTGGATATACAACCCTGGGAAAACACCTAGGGAAGCCAGGAAACCGAACACTCAGTATTAGACTGCAATGAGCTAAGGAAAAGTTACAAAGTAAACTTTGGTTACAAGAGAATATATGGTTCTGATCGTGGAGACCAGACCTTATCTAGAACAACTCAAAATGATAAAAACCAGCACTGTCTGACCTGAAAGAAAAGATTCTCCAGGGACAGCAAGGCATCTTCATATTTCACAGAGGTTTGTGTGAAACAAACAAGGTGGCCTGTGCTGTTTTCCCAGGAGGAAGGGGGCAGCTATCTACCTCTACAGCATCCCAAAGGAACTATAATGTAAAAACTGCAGGAAGCACCCTGCCGCCGTTTTTAACGTATCTCATTTTCCTATAAGTCTAAGGACAAGGCTCAGCAGGGATACCTATTTGAAGCAGGAAAACACTCAGGAAAGTAACAATATATCTTGGTGGTTGGGAACACCAGGCTAAGATGATACAAAATTTTGTTCTGCAACATTCAAAATATGCAACCTCATGGAAAGTTACTTAGCTTTCCCAGGCTTCTAATAAAGCCCCCAGGAGGCTCCTGCTGCTGGCCCGTGGACCAAGCTTTGAATAATAAGGCCAACACTTCCAAGTAATGGCAAATCCTAAATGAGGCCAGTGCCCAGGACTAGAATGAAGCCAATTATAAACTTATCTAGTGTGTAAGATTTAAGACATCATGAAAGCAATCAAGATAAATAATATTTTAATGGAATTTTTTAGATATTACTTTATACATGTTGAGTTTTTGTCTACATGTATGTATACACATCATGTGGACCTGGTGCCCTCAGATGTCAGAAAAGAAACTGACTTCCCCTAGAAATGGAGTTATAGATGATGAGCCACCTTGTGGCTGCTTGGAACAGAACCCAGGGTCCTCAGCAAAAGCACTAAGTGCTATTAACCACTGACCCATCTCTCCAGCCCTTAAATCTTTTTTTTTTTTTTCTTTCCACAGAACAAAGCTTAGACATTGCATGGTCATTTAACCTAATCTGAAAGACATATAAAAATGGACATAATGATGCTTTCCATCACCTCACATATCAACACCAAGTCCAATGAGAGACCTCAAGGTTCAAAAATGTATGCAGACACAGGTAAAGGAGTGAAGAGTACCAAAAACTTAGCACACCTGTAATCCCAGCACTCAGGGAGGCAGAGGCCAGCTACACCAGGCTGTAGACCAACAAAGTGAGTCCAGGATAGGCAAGGCTATAAAAGGAAATGCTGTCTCAGAAAAAAAAAAAGGGTACCAAGAACCTTTTGGGGTACCTGACCCTGACAGACACAGGTGCAGGAAACTGTACTCATGACCACCTGTATGTGACAACCTCTTCACACTACAGTGCCTCACCTGCGGAGGGACAGGAATGAGGGGTGCAGCCACAGGCTCTGCCACGCTGCTCATCCTGGCTGGAGGAGGACAGCTGTTAGCTGCATAATAATTTCGGAGTTTTTTGCCATGGTTTTTACCCTGCAGGGAAACACAAAGCGGACAGTCACAAAGAGGACGGTTTGTCAGACGGTGACCGCCACCCCTCACCCAGGCAGCACCGTCTCTGCTGTACACCCAGGACAACAGACCACTGGGCCGCTCTGACTCCATCCTGAAGAGCCGGAGTGTGTTCTCGGCTGTGCTCTGCTGCCGTGGTAAACCTCATAACCAAGAACAACTTGGCAGAAGAAAAGGTTTCTTTCAGCTTACACTTCTAGGCCATAGTCCATCATGAAGTCAGAGCAGGAACTCAAGCAGAAACCGTGGATGGATGCTGCTTCCTGGCTTACTCACTGGCACATGCTCAGCTGGCTTTCTTAGACATTCCACACCCACCCGCCTAGGTAAAGATGGTCCCACTGTGACCTGGACCCTTTAACATCAACCATCAATCAAGACAACCTCTGACAGACCAACCTGACTGAAGCAGTCGTTCAACTGAGGTTCCCTCTTCCCAGGGATTGTGTCAAGTTGACAATAAGAACTAACCAGGGCGGAGTCCATCATTTGGTTCTAAGAGAACAGTTATATTTATCCAGAGGAGATTAAAAAAAAAAAAAAATGAAGCCAAAAGGAATGAATTTCCTCTAAGTTTCCAGAGAAGTCTCACGGTCCGCAGTACTGCACCCTCCCTGGAACGTATCTCTGCTCAGACACCACTGAGTCAATAGAAATCTTGTGGTGCCCTGATCAGGCTGACGTTAAGCAATGAGACGGCTAAGCCAATCATTTTCACAAAAGCAGCACTTGCACAGGGACCCTGTGTACAGAGTGAACGTATGAGCCTCAGTTCAGCCACCACTCACAGGAGTCCTGTAAGACTCTGCTGGCACCCACTGAGCCTGACGGTGGAGGAGCTGCGGCAGGGACAGGCACGCACCTTCAGGAGGAGCAGAGCAGTGACGTTCAACCTTCCCAGTGTGGCCCTTACCACACATCATGGTGGCTGGCGGCAACACCGTGAACTTCTGCCAACTCAGAATGGCCTTTCTCACCAAGTTTTAGGTTATAATTCACAGGAGTATATTCCTTAAGCTAATAAATAAATACAAACTGTTGGCAAGAACTGAAAACACTCTGACGGGGCTGGAGAGATGACCCAGAAATTCAGAGGGCTTCCCACTGCTGTAGAGGACCTGAGTTAAGTTGCCAGTGCTCACATCAGGCAACTCTCAGGCACCCGTAACCGCAGTTCTGGGAGATCAGTGGCCTCTTCTGGCCTCTGTAGGCTCCTACACACATGACGCATGCACATTCATGCTGGCGCACATACACAATAAATTTTTAAAAATCTTTCTTAAAAAGTACTCTAAATAAGAGTAAAACAATTCAGTACTTTAAACCTTGTAAAATGTAAACCTACATACTAACATTTGTCATCTACTACCTGCTAACGTCTACGAGTGAACTAAGGATCCGCACACGGTCTAAAGGCAGCTAAGTTCCATCCCCTGTCATCCGAATGCTGGAATGGAGCTGTACCAGTCCAGTGGGACTACCACAGAGTCAAGTTTATGGTCCCCTCTGTAACTATCTCATGGAATCCTAAGCAGCACAACACCAATGCTCCTCCCTCCTTTCAGAAACGGTCCTTCCAGAATGTTGTCTTCTGTGGCTTTCTCTTACATCTTCCCATCTCTCCTCCCTACCAGACCCTAAGCTCTGGGGTATCCAAGGCCCACCCTTGGCCCTCTTCTCTATGTGGTTCACTTTGCCTAGCCTCACAACTTTATAAGACAATGAATAAATGTGTGGCAGATAGTCATGCTGGCACACACCTTTCATCTCAACACTGAGGAGGTAGAGGTACACGGATCTCTGTGAGTTCAAAGTCAGGCTGGTCTACAGAGTGAGTTCCTAGCCAGCCAGGACTACAGAGTGAAGGCCTATCTCAAAACAAACAAACAAGCAAGCAAACAAAGACATGGCAGTTCCTGTAGTTCCAGCTAGTTGGGAGGCTGAGGAAAAAGGGTCACATACGTTCAAACCTGCCTAGGTAACAGGAGCATGACACTCAGCACAAGACACGAGTCCTATGAGAGGAATTCTGAGTGCCTGTGAGAAAACTCCAAAACAAAACAAAACAAAACAAAACAAAAGAAACAAACAAAAAACCAAGAAGACAAGAGTCTTGTGACCTCGGTTTCTTTAAAAAACATGGAATTGCTCTTGGAATGTGTTTGCATGCTCCTCCCAGGTGCACCAGATAGGTGGGAGTTTACTTCAGCTGCTGTTATTCACGTGGCTCTACGGAAAACCATTTGTTTATCACATTTGGCTTGTCCTTATGATTGCACACTTTCCTCAGGTGACTCTTCTAAACCCTCAGAGTATAAGTTGTCCGCTGCTCTGAATAAAGTTGGCTAGTGCATAAGACTGTCGTCCACCTCATTTTTAGGCCCTGCTCTCCCAGGTTCATGCCACCAGCAAGGGCAGTAAACACAGGAGTGTCTCAAAATTAAGAACTGAGAAGGGCTTAAGGACACAGCTCAGCAACAGAGCACATGCCCGGCTTGATCAAAGCCCGGGTTCCATCCCCAGCACCTCCCCTCCCACCACCTCCCCTCCCACTCTCCCCATCAACACTTTTTTGGCAAGCCCCACTGTAATTAATAGTCACTGCAGACAAGCAACATCACTAACTAAGCAAAAGTGTGATGAAAAATGAAAACACACATGTGGTCTCACAAATATCTCTCCATATGATCCTTACTCAACAGAAAAACAGTATCTTTTCCAAGAAGATCCTTGCAAGCACCACCTTAATTGAGAGATAATTAACACCATGAGAACCACCCCTAGGGGCTGGAGAGATGGCTCAGTGGTTAAGAGCACTGGTTGCTCTTCCAAAGCACCGGGGTTCAATTCCCAGCACCCACATGGCGGCTCACAACTGTCTGTAACTCCAGTTCCCAACCCAAGGGATCTGACACCTTCACACTAATGCACATAAAATAAAACTAAAGAAATTAAAAAAAAAAAAAAAAAAAGCGGGAGAGATGGCTCAGAAGTTAAAAGCACTGGTTGCTCTCCCAGATGTCCTGAGTTTAATTCCCAGCAACGACATGGTACCTCATGACCATCTATAATATGATCACACGCAGGCGGAACACTGTATACATAATTAATAAGTCTTAAAGAAAAAGAAATGTGGAGAATATTTGATGTGTTAAATATTAAAAAAAAAAAAGCATCAAAAAAGAAAGCTAGAGAACCACCCCTGACGCATCGGTCCTCTTGCCAAAACACACAGAATCCGAGCTCAGTTACACAAGGCAAAATCTGCAACACACGACAAAACTGTCATTTAAAACCTGTAAGATCATTAAAGAAGAAGAAGAAAAAGAGGAGGACGAGGTTTAGGAATGGCCTGTCCAAGTCAGAAAAAAAAAAAAAAACATTAAAATTACGTGTAAAAATTAATTTTGGATTAGACTCCAAAGGCAGGAGGGGCTGTGAGTAGACCTCAGGGGAAACGAGACCAGCTTGTGGAGTGCAGACAGAGTAAGGTTTCCACCAGTGTTAGCTCTTCGGTTTGCTTTGGCTGAGTGTGCTGTTGCTTCTGTTGTTTGAAACACAGTCTAGGCAGCTGAGGCTGGCTTGTAACTCACGACGAAGCCAAGCTGACCACCCTACCTCCACCTCCCAAGTGCTACGCTTTTCTGCATGTCACACACGCAGCTCAGTATTTGTTTCTTAGTGTGGATAATCGTACTTTTATGTAAACTGTTCATACCCGGGGAAACTGGAAGCACAAGTCTCTAAGTTTAAGACGACTCAAACTAAAAGTAGTAATAACATTTTCCAAATCCTTAAAAGAGCGCCATAACAGGAAACTATCATCCACTTGCAGAATCCATGACACCGTGCCCCACTGTGCCCAGGAACCAGTCTGTGGCAGTCAAAACATCAGGCACAGGGAACTATTTGGACTACCTATATATCCTGACTTGAAGTTGCTATGTCAAAAATCACCATCCTCAAAAGCAAAAACAATGTATTTCTAATATCACACATTAGACAGGTTGTAAGACTACAAAATAAATACTAGTGTCACCCTCAAGTTAAAAAAAAAAAAGGATGCTCTGAAAAGGAGTAAGAAATCAAGAGAGCCTCGCTGTCTAAAGAACAGCTATCAAATTAAAAATATAAAACCAGCCAGGTGTGGTGGCACACACTTTTAATCTCAGTATTCGGGAGGCAGAGGCAGGCAGATCTCTGTGATGATACATGGCCAGCCTGGTCTACAGAGTGGGTTCCAGGACAAACAAGGCTACATAATGAGTGAGACCCTGTTTCAAAAAAACAAAAATAAACAAATAGATAAACAAAATCAATGTACTATTTCAGAGCAAGGTCACTTCTCAAACTAAAAGTAAGTGAAGTAGTAATTAAAAAGGAGGAGACAGGTAATGCAGAAGCCCATCCTCAGCCCTCAGTTTCACTTCTGGTGTCACACCATAATACACAGAAAACTCCAAAACTAAAGATTCACATGCTTGAAAATGCTTGCCATTCTGACCAACACGGCAAAATGTACAGCTGTCTGGTCATGACTCGTGCCTCCCTCTGGTACACCTATGCTCAATCTGCTACCATCTTAGTCCTTAGTCACCAGCCAAGTGATGGATGTCACTGTATCACAACACGAGTGTATCAGGAACCCTCATTTCACATAATGATGGTGCCTTGGTGTAAGTGCTACAGTGCTGGCATTCACATATGACAAAGAGAAACTGCCAAGCACTTCCTTGAAGTGAAAAGTAAAAGTTCTCAACTTAAAACGGACAGGGAAAACAATATGCTGAGGTGACTCGTGCCTGTGCTGAGAACAGACTTATCCATGAATTGTGAAGGAAGCAAAGTCCATGCTAGAGCCAACGTCACCCTCAGACTACAGAAGGTAGAGCCACATGCACACGTGCTTGGTTAAAGTTGTGAATGCATGTGTGTATAGGAAAGCATGATACATATAAGAG